TCCAGGACTGGGTGTGTGGGTGCAGACACAGGTCTGGGACTGGGGCATAAAGGGGAGCCAAGAGGATGGATTCAGTGTGTATGGGGGCGGAGGTTCTGAAATGGGGACTATGCGTGGGAACTGGCTGGAGAGGGCTCTGGTCAATGCGTCTAGTTCCTCATTGCTTTGGGGTCACGGATGCCTTTGAGTATTTGAAGAACGCCTTGTCCCGGGCCCCCTTTAATTTTGGAGACAATTTCCAGGGATTTGAGGACCCCCTGATAGCACAGATTGAAACCCTCTGGTCCAGCTGATGCCTGAACACTTTGTAGTGTAAGAAGGAGCTCGTTGGGGCAAGCAGATCCCTCCCCCACCTCCCCTGAGGCCTGTCCTTCCTCCACTGTGCTCTGCCCACTCTGCGTAGGCCAGACATCTGGGCCACATCTGTGACTTGCTTACCCCCCCACAACCCCCACGTCACTCTGTGAATCAACATTCCCCTGAGCTAGCAGTTGGGCTCCTTCCTTCCTGGGGATGTTGATGTTCTATCTCTCTCCCTCTCTCACTCTCTCTGTTTTCCTCTGCTTACTTTGATCTTCTCTCTCTCTCTCTCTGCCTTTCTGTCTCTTCTGTTATGGCTCTCTCGAGCTCCCCCTCTCTCTGCCTCCCCTCTCTCGGCCCTCCCCTCGGGCTCTCAGCAGCTGCTGGGTGGCCCTCTTACCTGGGGACCTGCTATTTCCCGCTGAAGGACAGGCAGGCGGGCAGGCGGGCGGGCTGGTGCAGTGGGTGACTGGGGGCCGACCCCCCATTTTATAGTCTGGCAGACACCAGGGCCCATGGTCTGTGGCACAAAGCGGCAGCTGGCTCAGCAGGCTCCGGGGAGGGAGCGGCCCCCGGGGGCCCTGACCTAGCCTGTTACTGTGGAGGGCAGCACTTTCCATTGTGAGCCCGGCTCGCGCAGCAGAAACCCTGGCCCGATGCCGCTCCACCTCGCCCTGGGCCTGGCCCCAAGCCCTAGGCCTTTCTCCGAAACCCCAGCTGGGCTGGGCCCACAGGGTCCCTGCTGGCTGCCAATCCTGGGGCCGAGGAAAGGGGAGCCCCAGGGGGGCAGGCTACTTGGGTGACAAGGAGCACAGCAGATGGGAAGATGCTTCATGAAGGCAGATGTGGGTGTGTGGTCAACAGCCCCACCTGCTGAGTGCTCGCTGTGCGTCGCAGTAGACACCCTACCCGCCGTCGTGGTCAAGCCCCAGGACGAGCCACCTTATTTGGTACTTTCAGTACCCATTTCACAGATGAGCCAAGCGAGCTCTCTGACAGAGGTGTCAGAGCCAGGAACCGCCCGCAACAGGCTGGCTGGGGAGCCTGTCTGCTTCATTCTCACGCTATCTGACCTTGGCTCTGGCCTTTCTGCTCTCCCCCCGCCATAGAGATCAGGATAGAGGCGGGGGGTGGGGGAGCTGTGCTCGGGTGAGTTGAATGTTCAAAGCCTGAGTCTTGTTCCTCTGCCCACGCTGGGCCTAGATTCTTCCCCTACTCCTCCCTGATCTGCCTGTACAAACTCCCCTCCATACTCTGACCCCAGGGGCAGAGCTGGTGGCCCTGAACATGACTGGCCATCTCGGAGCTTCCCTGGGGAAGCCCCAAGCCCCACCATTTCTTGTGCTCTGTTGGACCCCAGCACTGAGCACAAGGGTCTGGCACAGAGTGCACCCTCAATCAATTTGGGAGGACTAAGTGGTCCTGCCAATGGCTCATAATGGAAGCTGGGGTACAGAGGGAGATAGGGGAACCAGGGTGGGGGGAAAGAAATAGGGTGACTGGCTGGGAGAAGTGGAGAGTCACAGAGAAAGAAAGAAAACGGAACTGCAGAGGAACAGAGGGGGAGACGGACAGCGAAGGGGAGGAGACAGAGAGACAGAAGTCAAATAGAGCAATAAAAACTCAGAACAATGGAATAGACGCCAGGAGTCTTCTCATCCAATTCCTTCCTTTCACAAATGGGGAAACTGAGGCCGAGCTGGAACAGGTGACTTCTCCAAGGTCCCACAGTGTGAACTCACAGTAGAGCTGGGGAACTGTTGGGCCAGATCAGCCTGAGGTCTGGCTCCCTGGCCCTAGGTGCTGGTGGTGGCCCCGGTTCCTGCCTCTTTCGTGGCAGGTGGGACCCAGCCCCCCACAGAGCCCAGATCCATCCTTGAGATCACCATGGCCTGGGGCCTTGAGATCACCATGGCCTGGGGCCAGCTCTGCCGGCTCTTCCTCCACCCCCAGCCCACATCCCCTCGCTTCCCAGCCTCCCCCTCGACCTTTCATCCTGCGCCAAGGCCTGGGAGGGGGCCAGGAACCACAGGATGGGGCAGCCGCTGGAACAGGGGCCAAGATGCCTGTGGCTGGTGGCGGGGGAACCCACAGGTCTGGGCTTCAAGGCCAGGCTGTCTGGGGCAGTTCCATGGGCCACCTGCCAAAGGGTGGGGGCAGAGGTAGGGACTGGCCCCCCAGGCTGGGTGGCTACACCCTGAGCATTTTACTGACTTGGGTCCTGTAATCCTCACTATGGGCAAGTCCCTTCCTCTGCTCTCAGCCTGTTAGCTCATCGATGAAATGGAATCAGGAGTCACATTCTAACTCCTGAACCTAAGCTCTTTTTTTTTTTTTTAAGATATTATTGATATATTTATTTGACAGAGAGAGACACAGCCAGAGACGGAACACAAGCAGGGGGAATGGGAGGGGGAGAAGCAGGCTCCCTGCCGAACAGGGAGCCCGATGCGGGGCTCAATCCTAGGACCCCGGGATCATGACCTGCGCCGAAGGCAGTCGCTTAACGACTGAGCCGCCCACGCGCCCCTGAACCTAAGTTCTTGAAAACGATGCACTCCTGCTTTTATATGAAAAATTATTTAGTAGTATTTTTTCAGCTTTATGGAGACACAGTTGACACATAACACTGTGTAAGTATAGGGTATATGATGCATTGATTTGATACATGAATAAATCGCAAAATGATTACCACCATCGTATTAGCTACCGCCTCCCATCAGATCGCACAATTACTGTTTCGTCTTTGTGGTTGAGAACACTGAAGATCTCCTCTCTTAACAACATTCAAGTACGTGATGCAGTATTATTAGGGATAATCACCATGCTGTACACTACACGTCCAAACTTCCTAATTTTATAACTGGGAGTTTGTCCCCATTTCCTCCACGCCCCAACCCCTGAAACATCATTTTACTCTCTGTTTCTGAGTCTGTCTTTCGTAATCTCGTATATAAGCGATATGATACAGTATTTGTCTTTCTCTGTCTGACATAGTTCAATGAGCATAATGAAGTCCATCCATGTTACTGCAAATGGAAGAATTTTCTTCTTTCTCATGGCTAAGTAATATACATACATACATATATATATTTATATATGCACATATACATATCACATCTTCTTTATCCCTTCATCCATTGGTGGACACTTAGGTTCTTCCCATATCTTAGCTATTATGAATAACACTGCAATCAACACAGAGGCACAGATACCTTAACAGTAATCATTTTTATTATTAGCAACGATGATGACAATGAGGAGGCACATAATGCTTTCTGTGTTTCAGGAGCAGTTCCGAACAGAAAGTGCTTTTTGTGTGTAATTCACATTTACCCTCATAATACCCCGATCTCTTAGACTAAGCCCAATTTATTTATTTATTTTTATAGCCATTTTGTACACGAGGAAACTGAAGCTCAGAGAGATTAAGTCACACGCTCGAGGTGGGATGGAGACCCAGGCTGCCTGGCCCCTAGCCTTTTATCTTTCATGGTAGCCTTTCATCAGAGTCATGCATTTAATAAGGCTGCATGTAACCAGCCCAGGAGGGAGCTAATGTAGCCATTTTACAGGCCAGGAGCTGAGATCGGACATCCTCCAGGTCACCCAGATGTTAGGAGGCAGGGCTGGATTCCACCCACAAGAGTGGTCTTGTTTCCAGCCACGCTCTTTCCTATGCCGTGAGAGGCCCCTCTTGGGTCAACCCAGAGGGTAGGAGCAGAGGGAGAGGGTATTCAAAGTGAGTTTTACAAACCCTGGATACCTGACAGGTGTGCCACTGTTTGCACAGCACGTTCACACCCACCAGCTCCTTCATCCTGCCTACAGAGCCATCTGGACTCCTTTTTGAACTCTGTGGGTCCTGGAGACCCTGGCTCAGCCTGCCTTTCTTGCCTGGCTCCCTCTTGCAGGGTCCCTGAACTCCAGCCCAATTGGGCTACTTGCTCTTTCTCATACATATACCCCAACTTCCCACCTCCACACTTATGCTTAGAAGAAGCATTCCTTGCATCTCACTTTGTACAAATCCTCCTCGCCCTTTGGAGTCTAGGTTAAATGCCACTTCCAGGGGCACCTGGTGGTTCAGTCAGTTAGGCATCCGACTCTTGATTTGGGCTGGGGTCATGATCTCAGGGTCATGGGATGGAGCCCTGTGACTGGCTCTGTGCTCAGTACGGAGTCTGCTTGTCCCTCTCCTTCTGCTTCTCCCCCCACTCATGCTCATTTGCTCTCTCTCTCTTTCTCTCTCTCAAATAAATAAATAAAATCTTTAAAAAAAAATAAATGCTACCTCCAACATGAAGCCTACCCCAATTGCCCTTGCTGGAAGAGGAAGGGGTATGGGAGGAGGAAACGTATAGGCATTTGTTGAATGTGTTCTCTGTGCCAGGCATGTTATATAACCTCACAACAACCCCGTGATGTGGTTTATCCTTGTCCAGTTTTATAGGCAGAAATTGAGGAGAAGAGACCTGCCCTGGGTCATGCAGCTAGGAAGGGTGAAGTTTTCGGATTCCCTGGCCAGTGCTCATTCTCTTGCTCCAGTCAGGAGTCCCATGGAGCTGATTAAGGTAGAACTTCCCCTTCTCTTCTTCGTGGCTGATCCCTGAGGGGGGCCACCTGACCCTTTCCCTTCCAGCTGTAGCCAGTGCTGCTGACACCTCTCCACTGGGACTTCAGCCAGGACTGGCTTTTGTTTTGGCTGCTCGCATGCTGAGTCGGAGCTTTGTCTCCCAGGGGCCCTCTCTCCTCTCTGCCTATAAGAGCCTGACCTCGGCTCGTCCCAGCACGTTCTGGCATATTCTCTGGGTCCATCTTGGTAAGTCCCAGGCTGGGAGAAGGGGTGGGATCCACGCTCTGAGCAAGCATCTTGGGAGGTGGGGAGACCAGGTCTCCAGTCCTGGGGATGTCACTGTGCCACCCTGAATGTCATCCTCACCCTAACCAAGGTCAGGCCCCCAATGTCAAGACCAATACCCATCACGCTCATTTAAAAACAAAATTATCCTGGAGTCCTGTTAGCCTCGATTGCCACCATTAGAGACTTCTTTGTGTCAGGTGCCGTCTTAGGGAGGCTCTCTTTAAACTTAGCACCGCGGCACTGGCTAGCATGATCCGTCCCACTGGGAGCCACAGAAATTGTCCCATAGTGAGCAGATAAGTTAATACAGAGTGGGGCTCAGAGGCAAGGGGACCCAGAATGGATAAGTTTTGAGATGGTGTATAGGATGCAAGTAAGGGAGATGACATTCATCATGGATGGAAAGTCACACATTGGGAAGGAGAGGACTAGCCCAGTCATACCTGGATCCCATTTGGATCCTGACCCTGCCCAAACTAGACTTTATCATCCAGAAGGACAGCAGACGGTCAGGGCGACAGGTTATCACGTTCTTCTCTTGTGTAGGAAGCTGGCAACATGACCCTGCAGTGCACCAAGTCCGCAGGACACTGGAAGGTAGGAAGAGGCACGGGGCAGGGGGGGTGGTGTCTGAGGAGTGAGGAGGGTTCAGAGGTCAAACCCAGGTCCAGGGGACCCCCTTGATCCTCCTCCATTGAATCCCCACCTCATTCTGCGGGGCATGTTATGAGGCCCCATTTTGCAGAGGATGCAGTCGAAGCTCAAAGAGGGGAAGGGACTTGCCCAAGGTTGCACACAGGGTCTCGATTTGAACTGGGGTCTTCTGGTCTCCAGATTTAACCAGTGACACTCTGGCAGAGGTGACAAACTGGTGATTGTACACAGTCTTTGGAAATGGTTTCTTTGGCCCCCTCTGTGTTAAAAAAAATTTTTTTTTTGAATTTGTCATCAGCCTTTAAAAACCTGGAGGGTCCACAGAAAAGTCCAGATATAGCGATGGTCTTGAGAAATTGGAAAAGCTGGCCAGCATTCCCAGGGGGCAAAAATCGGTAGTGCTGAGCAGAGATCACCCATTTATGGGATTTGTGCTTTCCAGTTAGTGGCCCTCCCCCATCAACTATCTGGCCCCTGGAGGCATCTGAGTTTGCAGTCCTTACTTTACCCTGCCCTGCTCCACCCTTAATCCTGGGGTGAGGTCCTAATCCCTCATCCCCCACAGGACTCTGATGCTGGTCTCCACCTTTTCTCTCTGTCACAGATTGTGGTGTGGGATGAGGAGGGCTTCCAGGGCCGGAGGCATGAGTTTACCACCGAGTGCCCCAGTGTGCTGGAGCTTGGCTTTGAGACTGTGCGATCTTTGAAAGTGCTGAGTGGAGCGTGAGTCTGGGGGGGACCCGGTGCATCTAAAGAACTGAATTTTTAATTAAATTAAATTAAATTTTATATGTTTAAATTTAATTAGCTACATGTGGCCAGTGGCTACCGTATGACTTAGACCGATGACTAAGGTCATCTTGGGTGGGGGGGGACAGGAAAGGATCTAGAAAGGGGTGTTCTAGGCCCTACCTTCCCAGGCTCTAACTGTACCAGCGTGCCTTCCTTGGGTCCGAAGTGCTGGGGAGTGTGCAAGACAGTAGTGTAAGGTTAAGCACGTTGTGCACTGCCCAAATGTACAAATCATCATTCACACAGATCCTGCATGTTGGATGAGGCAGCCTTGTAGGGGCAGACTTTTAGAATCAAGTGTTGGGTGTGAAATGTCCCTCTTAAGCATAAATTCAAAGAAAAAAAATCACTTGCCAAAAATAGAAGGTAACTATAAAAATATATATAGTAAAAAATAATGCTATTAATCTTTAGTTGAACATTGTTGCCGGAGGCTCTGAGCACAAGATATGTTGTGTTAAAAGCAAAAGAGAGAGATTAATGAAATGTGGAAGTATTAATGACACACTGAGGCTTCTATCTATATCAGCAGCTTTTTCTGTAGCACTTTCTGCAATGATGAAAATGTTCCACGTCTGCATTATTTGAAACACTGGCCACATATGACCACTGAGGACTTGAAATGTAGCTGGTGCATCTAAAGAACTGAATTTTTAATTAAATTAAATTAAATTTTATATGTTTAAATTTAATTAGCTACATGTGGCCAGTGGCTACCATACTGGATACAAGTTTCTAGAAGTTTGGGAAGTAGATGGAAAGGAGAGCCATGTTCTTTCTATGTGATTTGGAGTCACTTTATATTATGCCTGTGAGTGCCACTAAGGTAATCTTGGGTGGTATTTATGCACCTCACAGCTGGGGGAACAAACTCTTTTAGCTTCTGCTTTGTACAGGTGGGGAATTGGGGATCAGATGGGAGCAGCAACCTGTCCAGGGATATGTCCAGCAGACTGACAGATTTTGCCTGGAAGGAGAAAATAAGCTCAGGTTTATTACTTACATAAGACAGTCTGTTACTTAAGTAGACAGCAAATGCAAGGTCATCATGGTGGCAGCCTCCTGTGTGTGTCCCTCGTCCCACAGGATGACACCAAAAGGGACCAGATGACAGCAGGAGTGGTGGGCACCCTGCTGGTGAGAACCCAATCCATGCTTCAGCTGTGGCTCGAAGCTGTACCCTCCAGGGTAGGGGTACAGGGATACAGGCTCCTCCCTCCTCCCAGTGTGACAACTAAAAAATGTCTCTAGGCTTTGGCTAAATGCCTCCCAAAGGGTAACTCCCAAATGATAACCATTGGTCTCGAACTCGGGATGAGGGGTCTCTTACCTCTTGCACTCTCTACCCTCTATCCACAGGTGGGTAGGCTTTGAGCATGCTGGCTTCCAAGGGCAGCAGTACGTGCTGGAACGGGGCGAGTACCCATGCTGGGACGCCTGGAGTGGTAACACCGCCTATCCCGCTGATAGGCTCACCTCCTTCCGACCGGTGGCCTGCGCTGTGAGTCCCGCCACCACGTCGTCCCAGTGGGGTTTAGAAACTGACCATCCCAGAGTTCAAATGCTCATGTCACTTCTTCAAGCTCTGTGATGGGGCACCCCTCCCTCCCCTCTCTGAGCCTTGGTCTCTTCATCTTGAAATGGGGCTATGTCAGGGAAGAATAGGTAGCATCTAGACCAGACCACCGCACACATTGTGACCCTCACGACTTTGGTTATGATATGAGCTCCTGCGTGTTTTATGTCCCTCTGTTCATGACTCAGGGGATACTGGAGAAGCTGAGTGCCAGAGGTGGCAGGACAAGATGGGGAGGAAGGTTCTATTTCTTCTTTCTGATTCATTATCAGTGTTCCTGATTTTATACTCTAGTTACTGTTTATGGAGTATGGGTGGAGGCGGCCATGGTTATCTTTATCTTACAGATGAAAGAGCTGAGGCTCAAAAAGATGTATTTTTTTTCTTCAAAAGCAACTTTCATTAATTTATTAATTTATTTATTTTTAAAATTTTTTATTTATTTGCGAGAGAGAGAATGAGAGACAGAGAGCATGAGAGGGAGGAGGGTCAGAGGGAGAAGCAGACTCCCTGCTGAGCAGGG